GCAATGCTTTTACTTTAGATGTTGTTGAAATATATGGCTTTGATGCTTTGTTTATAGCTTATAGTCTTCTTTGTATTTGTGAATTTGTGCATGTGTGTGGTTTGTATGTGTTTGTGTACATTGTAGTTCACTGCACTCAGCACTGTATGACTGCAGCCTAAAAATAGACCAGACGATCTAGTGATTCATATCATGAATATATTTGACCACTGACAGGTCATCAACCAAATCGCTGACACTCTCAACACCAAGTGTCTGGCCCATAAGACAAAGGTGAGAGGTTGGATGTCCACCAACAATCTCTATATGGTACATTTATGCCATGGGATCCTTGGCAACCCATGTATCCCAAATGTGTTGATCGAAAGTCAGATCATTTACTTTCATGTCTGGCTCCGACTTATTTACAGACCGATGCCACATAGCTGGAGTAATGAAGAGTGTGATGTTAAACAGCAAACAAACATATATGGCTTGGATACCCGGACCCCAGATATCTGGAAACCTCACTGTCTATAGCGGATATTCGGTTTCCGTTTCGGATGGTACATTTTACAAACAAACCCGGCTAAATCAACACAAAATTGACTCACCTATCCGCAGAAGCTTCCGATCTACCGCTAACCGTGAGAGGGAAGTCACGAGAGTCCCACGTGTTTTGACCACGAGAGAGTGAGTGTCATATATATTATTGTGTCTACTCATGGATCGAAGCGAAGTGTAGTTGACAGAAAATGCATAACATAGCTTCTCTAAATATCATATTTATTGTAGCAACAAACTGGCTTGCTTATTTTACCCCATTCAACAATCACGCGAACTGATTACGCCTCGTTCTATTATATGGTCTCTGCTGCTAGTTTACAGTAACATCGGTAAAATGTGTGAATTTAAATGGCTTCCATGATTTTACCCCATTCCATGTGCGTACCACGTTCATGAGGGTCCATTATAACCTTAGTGTTGATTATATATATTTTACATAAAACTGTAAATAAAATTCTTTGGGTTAAATAATAGTATTCTGTATTATATTTTACTGGATTTTCCTTGAGGTGCATGAAAACCAAAATCCAGATATCAGGATATTCAATTATCCGGACGATTTACGTAAAACGAATGTGTCTGGATATCCGAGGTCTCACTGTATATGGCTTGGGGGTGCCACTATGTAAAACCCACAATGGACCATCCAAAAGAGTGAGTGAGTGAGTGAGTGAGTATAAATCAGTCATGTGTGATGACAAATTTGGATCCTTAAAATGCAATCAGAGAAGATATGTCTGCAGTGAGTGAGTGAGTGGGTTTCAGACCACTTTTAGTCGGTCCAACAATATCCCTTCTGGGGACATCACATCAGCATCACAGTGGGGGACACTAGAAAATGGCTCCATACACTCACATATCTGTCTGGGGAATCGAACCTGTTTCTTAGGCATAACGAGCAAATGCTTTAACAACTAGGCCACCCAATCCCCTCTAAGATTGAGCTTTACCTTAAATTAATGATTTACTTGCCCTTGGAAATATTTAAAACAAATACAATGTTAAGAGGAGACATCTGTGACCTATCATATGCCTCCATGATATTTGTTACTAACATAACAATATGCTATGATATCATCAAGCAGATATAACACAAATATGACAGTGGATGCATCTGTTTTTGTTTTCTGCCTTTGTACAACTCCTTCACCAAAACCAAACAAAGATCCCAGTTCAAGGCAATCTACAGACCATCCTGCAGCACTGCGACATAACCATCTCGCTCCATCATATGTAATAATTTCTGCCCAATTACACTGGGAGATGCAGTCTCCATATTGAAGAGCACATGAGAGCAGACTCATGGCGACTCGCTGCCTCGTATCAGTCAAGATGATAAGTGTATTCATTAAACTAGCCAGAGAATGTCCATGATCACACCAATAACCACACATACTACTCAACACAAGTTAAAGAAATACATTCTAGATGGTTGTGTGTTGTAGCCTGGACACATCAACTGCAGGATATTCAGAACAAACTTTTAACAATCACGTTTTTGTTCTTAATAAAAACGATAAAATATTTTCTTTATGCATACGAATTCTCTGCAGACCTTTGTATGGTTCTGACAATACTATCAGTATGGGTTTATGAATCACTATCAAATAGTGATCACAACAGATGTCTGCAAAAACAGGCCACAACCATGACAAACACATGCAAGGACAAGGCAATTTTTCGCTGAAAACTTATTTGAAAACCTATATATTGATTGTACTGAGTTATTTTACGACCACTGTAATATCGTCATAGGAATTCATTTCCATAAACCTTAAGAGACTAGTTCAGACAGTTGTTGGTTTTACATGCTAGCCCACGGGACACCATGCTACAGCTTAACATGGACACACCACTCAGACACAACACACTGATGCCCAGCAGACTAGTCCTTGTTCTCATAATGCCCCTAATGTGGGATTCAACAAGCACTATCTATTAACATCCTTTGGGGGACATGGTTGACAGAATAAAGTCATTCTTCTCCCCTGCAGATGCTACGTCCACAAGTTTGAAATACTCCCATTTCTTTTTCTAATTTATTCTTTTATTTTCACTGGCATGAAGAAAGACTGATTCTCATAACAAGAACCTACCACAATTGGCTTTGAATGTGCCACTTAAGAAAATTATTAAAACAAATTCACAAATTTTAATTTTAAACCAAATCCACAAAAAGTTATCAATAACACCAAAATACTGTTCTGGTGCCTTAAAACCGATTAAAGTTTCAGGGTAATTTTCAGCAACTTTTGGAAAGATTACGAAATTTAACAGACAGATGAGTGTCAGTTTGGCACCAGAAAACAGACCACCAGCTTCAGAACAGACACCAGTCAGAAGGTTTTCAACGAATTCAAATCAGCAGGGGTTTGTCAGATCATGTTTTTCATGAATTAAAGACACCAGAAGAAGTCATGTGCCTCTGTACAAGAATGAAGTATTACAGAAATAACTCAGTTTGCAGAATTATAAGGAATTGCCCATACGACCTTCGAGATCTAGCAGCTGAGTCTTCAGCATGATCGAGCCTACTTCTTGCACCAATATCAGAGTGATCTCTGCCTCATGCTGATCAATATCAATCTGTAACTGTCAATCACTTGTCATTACTGAGAGTTGATTACAATTCTTAAACCTTACTGTATTTCTCAGTGTATTCCTCATCCCTCCAGAATGGTATGAAAAATATCGGTGGTGTACGGACTGCAATTTTTCAACTTGAGACTATGGACACGGAACCAGTGAATCTCAATAACTCTGGGTTTCTTGCAATAATGCTGTTTTCATTGAAATTGAAAAAATATATTGGCAGTTGATATGTCAGTTTTTGCCATTCTATGAAGAGAGAACTTTCCATGTGAGTTTTCTATGAAACGTCATGCACTAGAAAAATCAAATTATTGGAATTGATTTCCGAAAAACTACAGTTTTGTTCTGGCTATTGTGGAACATAATTACATCATTAGTCTATAGAGATATTACTTTATCAATAAGTTTACAGGAACCAAAAAGTGTCTGCCTGCTGCAGGAGGCCAAGGTGGCCCAACTGTCTGACTTGTAGTGCTGCAAGAGGCCAAGGTTGCTAGAAAGGGCTTTTGGTTGCCCTGTTGTCTGACTTGTAGTGCAAGAAGGGGCTTGTAGTGGGTCTGTTGACTGACTTGTAGTGCAAGAAGGGGCTTGTGGTTGCCCTGTTGTCTGACTTGTAGTGCAAGAAGGGGCTTGTGGTTGTCCTGTTGTCATGAGCTGACTTGTAGTGCAAGAAGGGGCTTGTAGTGGGTCTGTTGTCTGACTTGTAGTGCAAGAAGGGGCTTGTGGTGGCCCTGTTGTCTGACTTGTAGTGCAAGAAGGGGCTTGTGGTTGCCCTGTTGTCTGACTTGTAGTGCAAGAAGGGGCTTGTGGTGGGCCTGTTTTCTGACTTGTAGTGCAAGAGGTGGCTTGTAGTGAGCTTGTTGTCAGACTTCCAGAGCTACAACGTGGTGGTAGCATGTGCCATTGTACCTTAGGCTTGTGGTGGCCCAAATGTCTGGCTTGCAGAGCTACAGAGGGCTTATGATGGCCTAGTGGTGGGACTTGTAGTGCTACAGGGGGGTTGTGATAGGCCTGTTGTATGACTTGTAGTGCTAGAAGGGGCTTTTGGTGATCCTGTTGTCTTGCTTGCAAAGCTACACAGGGCTTCTGGATTCACAATTGTCTGGCTTACAGAGCTATAGTGGATGTGTGTGTGTGTGGTGTGTGTGTGTGTGTGGTGTGTGTGTGGGGGGAGAGGGGGACAGGGGGAAGGAGAGAAGGGGGTAACTGTCTGGCTTGGAGTACTACAAGGGCCTCAAGAGGCCTAATGTTCTTGAAGCATATATGCATATCATTTCTGCATGACATATATCAATGAACACAAAACCAGCTCAGATTTCTGAAATCAAAATAATCACACATGCAGGTAATCAATGCAAAAACTCTGATATATATGTATTTCCACAATTGGTGTCAGATACAACATATCCAGAGATGCCAACCCTGAATCTCAGGAAAACGGAGTCATGACTGGCTGAAAGCCAGGCCTGAGCACCAAAGTTGCGAGTTGGGGGTGAAGCGCTTGGTCAGCTCTGCCATTTTGTTTCACTTTCATACCGACTATGACATGCATTCGGAAAATACTTTGTGAATCGTCAATAACACGCAATATACACAATCGACACCCAAAGGATCACACACTAAGCTTCTGAATGCTTTTACCAGTGTTCACTCAAATAAATCACTGGTGATTTACGAAATTGTATACCGTAAAATATATTCATAATTTTTTCTCAAAATCAGATTTTTTAAAAGAGAAATCGGAGAGCCGATTTTGTATTTGAAGATCGGAGTAACTCCGCCAAAATCGAGTGGTTGGCATCTCTGCATATCCAGTCTCTGAAGAACAAAGGTGAGTCCTGCATGAGAGTGTATATTCTTACTTGATGTAATATGGCTTGTCGTTTCTGTCCACGCCTGTCTCCCAGCCGTACGGAAGTCCCGTACTCGCATCCCAGTTGTCCCGCGGAGGCAGCCATGATGTTGTCTGATTCTTGTGACTGAAAAACAAAACAGTTCAGTTTCATCTATCACAGAAAGGGAGAAGCATCTTCATATTTACAAGTGTCCAAACCCTTATTCATAGCTGCACACCACTGTCACAGTTAGGTGTGCAGACAATTGAGGCTGCTATTCAAACAATCATAGTTAAGTGAGTGAGTGAGTGAATTAGGTTTAATGCCGCTTTTGAACGGTATTCATTTGTATCACAGCCTGTCAGCTTGACGTGAAAAGAAACCCCTAAGCATTTCACAATATTTACGCCTTCGGTGAAACCACAAGCATGGATATGATGCAACCCTAGAATGCTAATCTTGGTGAACCAGGACTTCAATCCATTGTTCCAGGTTCCAGGTGTCCCAAGGGGACACAACTCTGCACAGATTATTGTGGCACCATAGGTGACTTGGCCATCCATGCACACCTTATAGATATGAATGCTACCTTAAGTATCAGGATGTGTCTTGAGCTTCATTACAGCCCTTTTCAGACATATATGGCTTGGGGGTGATGATGATTTTTATGGAGAAGCATGTACAATATAAATACTACCCCACCCCGACCCTCAAAATTTATGTACAAAGTAAGTGACTGGTCCCTTACAGCACTCTTCAGATAGACTAGTTTCTGGTTCTCTGCTCTTTATGACAGTTTTATATGTAGGAACAGGTGGCTTCCATGATTTATTCTAAGCAATATAATTCTAGTCAATATATGTGTGGAGACTGCCATTTTGTTTACCCCCCCCTTTAACACAACACAGTGTCATAAACGTCACTTATTATGAGGGCTTCACTAAAAGAAAAATGATGAAACTCTGACATTGCTAGTTACTGTTTTATGTTTCATCTCAACATCACTTTCGAGACAAAGTTGTCAAAACTTTCAGAACTTCAAAATTTATTTCAGTTGATAAAGAGAAGGCTTGTTCAGACAGGCTCTCCATCATCTGAGCCAAAGTTTGACTGCATGATTGTCGTACTGCCTCTGTAAGATCAGACCAGCGAAGACTCCTAGGTCTCTCTTCACACGGAGAGCTAAGTAAGTAGAACGGCCCTACACGTAGCATGAAATTGTCCGCCACAAGCGTATGTGACATGTGTCCCAATGAGACTGTAAGTTGACAGAGCCAACTAACTTATGAAAGAAATCATCCTAATCCCAGATGAAAAAACACAGACGAGGGACAGACAATTTGTTTCTACGTGCTCAAAACCAGACCAAGGGCATTGTTTAATCAGCTGTGAATTCCTGCTCGTGAAAAATGTCATTTAATATCACAACTCGACGAGACAATGCCCAAATCTGAAGTACTTGCCTAAAAATGAATTTATTGGTTAGAGATCTCTCAAGAAGACCTACATGGATTACTGAACCTCTACCCCTGGCCAGTCTGTGGCATTGGTAGGATTGGAACAGATTGGAAGAATTTCTTGTCCTCGAGTCAGGATTACTTTGTAAGAGTACATCTAACATCTTGTCCCTGTTCCCGACCTGTCCGTGAAGATGTGAAGGAGATTGTTCTCAGATGAAGCATAAACAGTCCTGAGGCACCAATCGCTTTCAGATATTGTACCTGTATCTTCAGAAAATGTGTAGACAGGAACCTGACATGCCTTAGGCCCAAAATATAGACACTTCTACTTCCTGAAATGATGATGTTAGAAACTTTCTTCTGAAAATTTGCGACCTATCTGCTGCAATATGAGGTAAACAGTCCATCACATTTTGGCTGCAGGCGTCATATAGAACATTTAAGTAAGTGATTCCACTTTAGAAAATAACTCTAACAGCATTTTTTGCATGCAATGAACACTACCACATTCGACCCAGCCACTTCATAGAAACATATCCTACACTATAGGGAAATTACTTCTCACTCCAGAAACCTTTTCTTTCCAATAATTCAATGCATCACTCTTTTAATCAGAGTTTGGAATATCCTATTCCACAGCGCTCAGTATCTTCGAATAACATCACATACTATGAATTATTTCTTATTTACTTACTTATTTGTTTTCCAAATCAAATTAACAATAATTCTTATCTTTCTGTAGATGATTTTAACAGTTTCAATTCCTCTGATCTTAAGACAAGGAAGCCATCAATGGTTCAAGATGTCCACAATAACATTAAAAATACAACCATTATTTCCAAAGAACTATATTATGTATGGTATTGTCTTTGATCTGGTTACATTTGTCATTTCCAAAGGAAACAGAATATGGATTCATATTCTCATATAACAAATAATGAAAAAATGTAAGTAGTTACATTTTGTAAAATCTGAAAACAGATATCATTTTTCAAAGCAATGTAAACAACTGTTATCCTGAAATAGAGCTACCAAACAGCACTGATGCAGAAGATAACTGAGGTCAGCGGCAGCAACAACAAACTTTGATCTCAAAATCAAACAAGAGCTATTACTGTCACTAACAATATTACGCAATATGTGGTTCAGAATAGCTTATTCCAGTTATATAGTCGCACTGATACTTTCAGCATTCTTCAATGCTGTTTGCATTGTAACAAGTGACCTGGGTGTTTTAAAACTATTAAAAGATGGTGCTCTACTAAAACATATAATTTATCAGAGATTGAGCAGTAAAGAATAGAATAAGTTCCAAGGCAATGAAACTAAAACATCTTTTAAAAGGTTATTAGGCTTCTACACACTGCCAACTGTAAAATGATGTATTGCACAAGAAAATAGATGGTCATGACAAGTTTCAGTCTCTGCAGGGGCACTTATAAAGATTACACAGGTCTAGAAGTCAGTCAGTTGGCACTTAGGGTGATTACTACTGTGAATATGGTACCTTCAAATGTCAGAACCTGTATGTTGCATGCATGTTCATCCCCCCTGCTGAGATTCTGGTGAGTTTGACTACATCATTTTGTTTGTATAGTGTTTCAGTTTTCAGTGTGTGAGGTAAGCGTTGAAGGGACGTCACGAAAGTGGTCTTTACCACTTTGAAGTGTGAGTGAGTGAGTTTGATTTTACACCGCTTTTAGCAATATTCCAGCAATATCACGGCAGGGGGACACCAGAAAATGGGCTTCACCATTTTACCCATGTGGGGAATCGAACCCGGGTCTTTGGCATGACAAGCAAACGCTTTACCCACTAGGCTACCCCACCGCCTCCACTTTGAAAGAAGCCATACAAATATGGTGCAGGCACAACAAGGTTCATGATCAAGGTAAATCTGAAATAAGCGCTGTTGATCAGCAGATCCTGGTATGCCCAAAGGGACAGAACACTGTGCACCAAATGACAATGCCTGTGACCCTTAAGTTAAGATGCTGTAATAACCAAATGTTAAAAACATTCTTTTAGAACTTGGGACATGAGGAGATTTGCATTACTGGATTTAAGACAGGTTAACTGGAGTTAGTGTGATGTTGTCAGGCACAGATTACTGAGATTGTCATGAATGTTTTTTGTGTCACTCATTCACTATGCAATATCTGTAGGCCAAAACAACTAATGATGCAAAAAAAAATTTTTTTTCATTTTTCCCGAACCAATAAAACCAATCCACATGATTTATATCGCTGTCCATCAATTCAGCCCTATTGGGTTTTGTTTCTGTCTTCCCTGTACCCATCAAGTCACAGACGTAACATATCAATCACAGATTGACAGATTCAAGCCATTTTCAACATCTTTGAGAACCTGTTAAATTCTTTCCCACTAGTTGTGAAAGGTAGCACTTCCTAACATAATTAAGGCTGACAGCTTTCGTGTAAGATTCTGCCACAAGTTGACAGAGCTGTCACAAGTTGACGCAAGACAGGACAGAACGTGTCTGCTGGTAGACTCCCATCAGGGGTTGTCACCCAATCACTGGATTCCACTATTTCTACGAGTCCAGTTTTGGTAAACTGTAAATTGTCATACCACATAAGGACCATTCAACAGATGACTGCAGTAATGAATGTGACACTTCCACGATGGACGGCATCTAATGGTGGCCCCCAAGCCGATTAGATTCTCTATCAGTTTGACCATCAGCAGTGACACATCCCGGAGTTCAATGGCTAGTCAATGATTGGTGACAATTTGATTCTCAGACTTACAAACAAATCATTTCTCAGTGACATTTTGAAATGTTCAACTCAAACAAAATTGATAAGAGACAAAACTACTCCGTGTATCAGTTTTGAAACAATCAATACTTTTCTTGGTATTGATTATCTAAGAAAATATGTCTAGTCACATGAGATGACAATACTGCTCACATACAAAGGTATGCTATGTTTGGAGTGAGTGAGTGAGTGAGTGGGGGAATGTTTTGCATCAGACTTATATCAGATGATAACATGTCTGGAGATAGGACTATCTACATGAGCAACACCACTACCTACAGCAATAACAACCACAAAATATCTACATCCAATGGCTTATATCTGCCATAACACACCACCCATTTTGTAAACACCAAAGGACGTATTTACGTAAACATATTTCCAATAACCCCCGCCAGCAGCACACAGCATGGAGTAATTTGGTCTACACCAACACGAACATCAACTCATTAGAACCTCTTTGCAGACCCAATATTTGTCAATCTGAAAATCTACAGATTTTCAAGGTGATAATCCAAGTAATGGCTGCTCCCAAGCCAGACCCCTCTCAGCAAGAGACTAATCGTGTGTCACAGGTTAGCAAGGCCGGAGGGCAAGTGATTCTGGGTAATCTGTGAGTGGTTTGAATCCTGATGATGGCAAACATGATTTCATCTCTCGTCTCTCTCAACAGGGAGCAATCAATCCCGTCAACCACATATGTATTCACTGTTTGCTGCCAGCGAAACGCCTCCTGGATGTGTCCATACTTCAGTCTGATTGGACGGTTAGAGACAGGGAGGAAAGACCGAACGGATGATTATTGTGATGATAATTAGAAAATCAGATAAATGAGCTGAAGGTACTGAATATGAAGTCGTTGCTAGCGTTGAAGTGAGTTGATACTGAAGCTGTTGCTGATGCA